GTACTGTGTCCAATTTTGGGCCCCTCACTGCAAGAAAGACATTGAAGCCCTGGAGCGGGTTCAAAGAAGGATGACAAAGCTGATGAGGCGTCTGGAGCACAGGCCTTATGAGGAGCTGGGATTGTTCAGCCTGGAGAAGAGGAGGCTCAGGGCAGACCTTCCTGCTCTCCGTAACTACCTGAAGGGAGGTTGCAGTGAGCTGGGGGTCGGCCTCTTCTCTCGTGTAACTAGTGATAGAACTAGAGGGAATGGCTGCAAGCTGCTCCAGGGGAGATTTAGGCAGGATGTTAGGAAATACTACTTCTCTGAAAGAGTGGTCAAGCACTGGAATGGGCTGCCCAAAGAGGTGATGGAGGCACCGACCCTGGAGGTGTTCAAAGAATCCTTGGATGTTGTGTTGAGGGACATGGTTTAGTGAGAGCTATTGGTGATAGGTGGATGGTTGGACTGGATGATCCTGTAGGTGTTTTCCAAACTTTGTGTTTCTGTGATTCTGTGATTCACAGAATAAAAATGGCAGAAACTCTGAGTTCAGCCATTCAGCATAAAAAGTTGATGGACAATCTGAACTTGAGTGAATGAGAAAGAAATAAAAATGTAACCAAAATGGAACTACCTGCCTAAACACATCAAGTGTGTATCACAGCTGAAGATTGTGATAGTCCACTGAAGTCCCATTTGAAGCACCAGAGGCTTTGCATTTGGCTCCTTGGCAATGCTGTGCTCAGGCTGAGTGGGGTCACACAGGTCCTTAGGCTGCTGTAATGTGGAACATTGCAATGCTTTTAATTTCATTTTTCTGGTAAGATACCAGCAAATTAAAATTCTTCAACAACATACACATCCCGTCTCTTTGCAATTTGTGTGTAAATGATTCATGGTTAATAGGAAGAAACATGACCTGGTGTGTACATGAAAAGGCTAATTGCCCCATTTCTAATCTGCTGGGTGTTGGAGCACACAAAGCCCTGAGAGACCCAGTGAGCCCACGTGAGGAGGTGAACCCAGCATGGCTCAGAAGCAGCAAGTGAAGGCTTTTGGGGTATAGAAGTATATTTTGAGTTGCTACAGCTAAAGCTAACAGGTCTCTGGAACCAGATTCCACATTTTCTGCTTGGCACAACACTGCAAAGCCCAGCATCCTCTTTCCCCATCCCAGGGAGCTCCCTGTACTCCCACATGCTGCCCCAAAGCCCAGGGGGCTGATAGGGCTGCGACCAGGCTTCCTGCCAGGCGGTCACTTAGTACTGCTTTCTACTGTTCTGTGGCTCATGATGTGCATTTCTTGTAAACGTTGTTCTTCTGGGAGCAAAGAGAGCTGATTTCTGTAGCTGCAAAATGAAAAATGCATTCCAAGCTTGAGAAGGCAGAAATGTAATGGCTGCTCCTCTCAAGCTGACAGGACGACCTGGAGGTGGATTCATTTGAATTAAAAATCAGTTCCAGTAAGTACCAGACAGGAGAAAAAGCTTCATCTGGGAAAAAAAAAATAATAATAAAACATGAAAGCTTTAGAAGTTTACAAACTGTTCAAAAACCTTATCATTTGGTGATAGTTTCTCTGCTATCAAGCTTACTCCCCTAAAAGCTATCTTAAAGCATTAAGTCTCCCCTCCTGCAGCTCTTCTATCATCTTTAGTTATATACTCCAAGCTATTAACTTGTGCTTTGCTCAGTGCTGACCCTGCACCACAGAGGGCATGGGGCCAGCAACTGCTGTTGTTTCTGTCTGCATGTCCCTTCCTTGGCAAGTCACAAGCTACAGAAAGTCCCTGAGAAACAGTTGCCCCAACTTCAGAAAAGGTGAGAAACAAGGAGGTACAGAGAGCTTCTGAGAGAGGTTGTTCCCCAAATGGTGTCAGTGATGGAAAGATGCTGCCCTCCTAGTTCCTGCAGGAAGCCCATCAAGCTCTGCCTGACACTTCGATTTGCAGAAGCTGCCTTCTGCTCAGATGAGAAACAATGTCTTTTGGCACTTGTTTTTATTTTTGTTATTTATTTTGGCTCTGCTTTCTAATTCTGCAGCTGCAGATCCCATAAAATGTAGAAGCTGAAATGTACTACTTGCTCCAGACTCGAAGCAAGACTAGGGGTGAATGCTGGTGGGATACAGATGAAAATACAAACAGATCTTTCATTATAACCCCATTTTCTTTAATTTCTTCAGAGATGATCAAAATGCCATTGAATTGCAAATATGAACTCCGTCAGGATGGCATCCACAGCCCTGGCAATGTGTGGATGTGGAATCCACACTTCTTCTTCTAAACATCTAAGTCCAGAAGGTTAGCTTTGCATCCAGGGCCATCCCCTCATCCTTCTTCTTCCTGTGTCCCTGTTGTGTTGCAAAGTGCAACATCGGCTATGCTATTAAGATCCAAGGAGTTATCTTTGACCTATTTATCTTGAATGAATCATAGAATCATTAAGATTGGAAAAGACCATTAATATCATCCTGTTCAACCACCGACTCACTTCCACCATGCCCACTAACCATATTCCTCAGTGCCACATCCACAAGTTTCTCAAACACCTCCAGGGCTGGTGACCCCACCACCTTCCTGTGCCACTGCATCGTCACTCTTTTGGACAATAAATTTTTCCTATTATCCAACCTGAATCTCCCCTGGTGCAACTTGAAGCCAATACTGAAGTGGACGTGCTAATAGTACTGGAAAGAAAAAATAGATAGAGTACTTGTAGAAGTATTGTAATGAAAAAGTATGGCACCTATGGTGGTTAAAAAAAAGATCAATAAAATATTAAACGGATGAGGTTGGTCTCAGCTGCACTGACGCTGATCTCCTCATTAGCAAAGTGGAATTGTTGTGTGGCAATGAGGCAATGAGAGCTTGGATTGCACCAAAGACACATCAGCAAAATATCTGTGTTGTGTGCCTTGTTTGTTCTGTTTATCACTCTGCCTGCAGAGGAAGTACCTCAAGAGATGCAGGGGAGTGTAGATGCCATACATGCACCAAGTGGCTCAGGTGAGATGAGCTCTGCCTGCAAGTGGAGGCCTTAATGAGTTTAAATCGTTTAGATTACCCAAAAGGAGATGTAGAGGTAACACGACCATTGTGTAAGCCCACTGGGAAAAAGTGATGGCTGCTATAGAGTTAGATGGCTCAGGGAGAAATGGTATAAAACAAATGAATGCTGAAGCCAAATAAATTCAAATGAGAACCAGCACAGTTTTTAGCAGTGAGGATGATTAATTGCTGGAACAGATTACCAGGGGAAGCAGCTGATTCGCAGCCTCTCAATACTTTTGAATTACAGTTGTCTTGAGCCCAGAGTGGATGTCTTTAGTTGACCAAAAAATATTGGGCTTAATAGAGAGATAAAAGAGTGATGCTTAATTATTCTGGTGGGTCAGGCTGGACATGCAGGTTTTCATAGTCAGACATGAGGTCTATCTCACCCCTCTCCTTCCTCCCAGCGTTACATAGAAATGCAGACATTTGCACCAGAGCTGTCTCTGTGTAGGAAACCCATCTGTATGCACTGAAAAAGAAAGATTCCCACATGCAGGGCAGTAACAGACAACTTCTGTTTTTCTGCAGCTCCAGTGCTACATTTATAACATTATGTGAAGCTATGTGTGGAAATGAGCACTGGAGCCGTCCTCCCCCAGCCTGGCACAGAGTCCATTAAGGAATCCGCTTGCCTCTCCAGAGAACACTCATAGCACAGGCACTAAGATGCTGCTTTTAGAAAGATAATGGATGAAGATGAAATCAGTTTTTCAGACGAGTTGTCTCCCTCCATAGGGGCCATCTTTATGGTTTCGATGATGTAGAATAAAAAGAAAGAATATTCACTTCCTAATGAAATGAAAAATTTCATTAATTTGGGGATATTCATTCCTTTCAGAGGTTTGCTTCTTGAGTTCATTAACTCCATGGATGTGGCTTGCTCTGGTGCTGTCCTGCAGTCTGTGGCAGAATCTGCTTTCTACTCACTGTTCAGAAATAGCATGAGATTTGAAGAGCAATTCTGTTTACAGCAGCTGGGTTGGGCCATAGGAAAAGCATAAATACTTCACTTACAAAAATGATCTGTGGATTGGTTTTCTGTGTAGTTAAAATGAATAATAATAATAATAATAAATCGAACAAACAGTGAATAGGAAGGCGCTAACAAGGCTTAAAAGGGAACGTCTGATTTTCTTCCTCTATGTTTTCTGTCCTATTTCTCAGCATTCTTGAGTCTGCATGGTCCTTTCTTAGCATAGTTTAACAACTTTTTTCTTATTCATCCTCAAGGGGTAACAGGTTTTCTGCAATAGAAATGTGAAGCCTTGAAAGTCGATGAATGTGCATGCATAGCTTTGCACTGTGGAAATCAGCTTCACTGCACAATTTTACAGAAAACAAATTCTAGAAATGAAAAGAAATGCAATTCAGGACCAAAACCTGCTATTATTCCTTAAGCAAAAATGCAACTTTGTTGAGTAGGAGTTCTACTGTGAAACAAACATTTCTGACTGCAGGACCATTGCTGCCTTCTGATGAATGGCTCTGGTTAAATTTGACCAGTTTATGGCAGAAGCTGTTTCTTGCCTCTAATATCAGCAATGCATTACTTAACAGGGTTGAATTCCCTAGAAAGCTGACAGGGGGCAAGGCTCGGCCTGCTTGACACATAGGCATGTGCATAAGGCATACCAAGCTATTGTATAGCTATAAGGGCTAATAATCTTGAACAATGCTACACCTGCACCTGAGAGCTCAGGGCTCTTCTCCCAGTGTTATTCCGGGAGAATTGCAGCTCTCAAACACCTGCTAGGTGATGGGTTCCCCAGCTGGGCCATTTAGCCTCTAGCAACAGCAGGGTTGGCTGAGGTAGGTGAGGGGAATGGTGGAGAGGGTTGTGTTTATCAGCTCGTCTTGGGCTTACAGTCAACCCTAAAGAGGGTGGAAGTGGAAGGAGGTTGGGCCTTAGGTCTGGGGAGGGGCTCCCTGAGCGAGGAGGAAGAGGAGGAGAAAAATAGATAAAGGGATGCATGCACATGTTTTGAGAGTTCAAAGTGGTGAGGATAGAACCACTGAATGTAAGTAGCTGGTGTGATGTCACAGTTGATTTAATTAAGCTCATCATTTTTTCTAATGTTGGATTTGGCCAACCATCCACACTGAGCAGCGTAAGAATTTATCATCAGTGTGGGTGTTTCCAGTAAAATAGCAAATCTAATAATCCGTAATTACTTCTTGGCATTGGGATTGCTCTGTTGAAACTCATTATAGTAGGCATTGATTTTTGACTCTAAAGAACGTTAAGCATTTGTTTAAAAGACAAAAACATTGGCAAAGCGATTTACCAGGAAAAAAATTAGTTGGTTTTTTTGTTTGTTTGTGGTCTGAATTCCTGTGGTGTGGTCACAGTTTTGTATAGTTTTGCTGGCAGTTCGTTGCATAAGGCTGAAAAAAGCAAACGGGCTGCAAATCAAATAGATGATATTATCATTGTTAGCAATCTTCTATGTTATACTTTTGTGTTCTTTTACTGGATAACTTTATTCTTTCCTAAGTGTTTTAATTCTGCAAGTGTTCCTGTTATTACCAGTGAAAGAAATTGAGTTTTTCCTGAGTGTTTGGTTTAGCTAAAGTTGTGATCTTATGCAGTGAGGCAGCAAGTGAGCAGTTCTAAAAAAGCATATGTGAGCATGAATGATAATACAATCATGTTTCAGAGTGCGTGAACCTAGCTATGCAAGCTCTGAATTACAGCTTCACTGGCTGATGGCAAACACGGACTTTAAATGTAAGGTGTCAGAACTCTTTTTGTTATCCTCAAATGATTAGATGTGTTTGAGGTCTGCTATCATTTGAATGCTGTTATACAGTTCAGCAAGCACTTAACCTCTATCTGCCTGTATCATAGGGTTTAAGCATGCACTCATATCTGGCAAGTCTCTGGCAACTTCTCTGAGCCTTAAGAGCCTGGAATTGCCCTTCTATTAGAAACATGCTGAATGAGTCACCTGTATGAGAATTCCCTCCTGACTGGACATCAGCAGATAAATGTGTGCTAGCTGGGTGTGATAGCAAAAGTGCTTTCTTCCAACTTTTAGATGAAAATGATGTATTTGTCCAAAAGCAGTTTAGGAGAGAAAAGCTTCTGACACTTTTTCCTTGTGCTTTCAAAGACTGATAAACATAGCTGTAAATGCTTTTACTTTGTAATTTTAATGAAAGTGTTGGCCTGTGTACCTATACTCTTTAGCTCCTTCTGGCTGGTGAAGCCCTTAGTGTTCCCCAGGTGGTGCAGCAGTCCCAGTGTTGGTTCCTCCTCAGGTCGTTGCTGCTGCTGCTCTGTTTTCAGACCATCTACTACCTCCCTACCCTTCCCTTCAGTGTGAGCGTAGCTTGCAGATGCAGACAGAACCCCATGCTTGTGTTCTTAGCTTCTGTTCATGCTGATTGGTAAATTAACACTCTTCTTTCTGCTAGCTCCACGATTTTCAGTAGAAAGTGTTGAAAGTGAGATTTAAAGTTTTACATTTCTTTGCAGCTGGGCTGTTTAGTGTTTTTTTGTTTGTTTGTTTGTTTTTTAATATTGCTGCACCTGGAACTGAGGATTTTATTCAGCTGCCCAGGAAGATGCTTTGTAAATTTAGAGTTGTGCCATGTGCAGTTAGCTCTTGCAGGATGCCTCGGCTTCCATTAGTCAACATTGATACTTAACTGTCTTCTGTGGGTAAATTAGGAAAAACTAACAGGGATATATTAGGAGGAACTTCTTAGAAAGAATGGTGAGGTACCAGTGCAGGCTGCCAGGGAGGTGACAGAGTGACTGTCCCTGGAGATGCTCAAGACCCATGGAGATGAGACTCTGAGGGACGTGGTCAGTGGGCATGGTGAAGGTGGGCTGGTGGTTGGACTTGGGGATCTTAGAGGTCTTTTCTGACCTTAATGATGCTGTGTTTCTATTCTGTGATTGTAAAGAGGGTAGAGGAAGATTTGAAACCTAACTTATTAACAGCCTGAGCTCTTGAGTGCATGTTTTTCCAGGTTTCTCAGAGATGAGGAAAGCAGAACCTCATACAAGCCACTTACTCTGCAGACACCACTTTTTGATTACTCTACTGCTTACTGTGCTATGAGAATCTTGTCTTATAATTATGGTTGATCCACTCAAGACATATGTGTGTCTGGCTTTTGACACTTAAACATAGTAACTTTTCCTGAAAGCAGATTTTAAATCTGATGGAGCAGGAATGTGCTCTTCAGGCCTTCTAAACAGTTTTCCTAGCTATAAACTGCTTTCATATGAGGAGGTGTGCATGATTATTGGTTCTCATTTATTTCACATTTGGAAATGAAATAAGACTCTCTGCCATGCAATAGCACCCTTCCTGCACTCCCTCCTGTGTTAACCTTGTAGTGGTTTATGCATATCTAACATCTGAGGATGAGACTGTGTTGAGTGTCCGTCAATAGTAACTTGCCTCTTGCTAAGTGAGCTGCTGTGGAGCAATAAATAACAACTTAGACCAAATGCAGCCTCAGCTGAACTGCAGCTGGAGAAAGCAAGGGAACAGCTGGAGGGACAATATTCATCAAAAGTCAAGTAGAACTTTCATGAAAATATTTTTGAATGCTCTACAGACATCTAGATGAGATTGGTGATCCTTCAGATGTGAAGGGGTAATGTGAAATAACGAGAAGCATCTTGTGTTCTGTGACATAGGGAATATTGTAAAAATAAATCTTTCACTGCTTTGGGTTTCATAGATGGAAAATGGATCTCAGCTTGATTGAGAGCTGCCATTAAAAGTGTTGTCTGGGGTAGATAAGCAGGCATGCCTGAGGTTTAGGAGTGTGGTCTCAGGAGGTGAAAAGTCACAGAGACACCAGAGCACCAAAATGGTGGAGTTCAGCTACTGGATGTGAGTTTTTCCCACCTGCCTTGCACCTGCTCTGGCATTTGCTGTATCACCTTCACCACAAAGGCAAAAGCAGCACAGACAAGCAGGTAGCAGTCTCTTAGCAGGCAAGAGGGAATTTTCTGCTTTTTCTGTTTCTTTTCCACTTTCTGAAGTATACATCCATCTCAGTTATCTTTTCCATTAGACATGAAATCTCCTTAGAAAACACCTTTTGGAGCTGTATGCATTGCCTGTTTTTGTCTGTGGTGATGTTCTCTTCAGCCATCTGTACCTGATAAAGAAGTAAAAAGCAATTCTCATCTAAATACATGTCTGTGAAGTTTACTGAAACACTTATTTTCTCATCTTTCTTTGTTAAGGCCTGTTTGATATTTTCACTGCACTTACATTGCTGTACACCCGTTTGTCATGGTATGCAGCCTGGTTTAAGTCTAGATTTGTGATATCCTGAATGAACAGGAGTCCTCCCCCCGAAGTGCCTTACCCTCTGAAACGTGCCTTCTAAAATGTCATCTCTGCTAACATACAGAGTAGAAACATTTTAACAGAGCACTTCTGTGGCAGATGTTTAGTTTGCAACTAAACTTTTTAGAAAGAAGTGTGGAAGTTTCACTGTGTAAGTGACTGCTATCATAGTCATCATATAATAATTGGATAAGGATGTGAAATAGAATGTATTGACCTAGAACTCTGTTTTTTAAAATATCTTCAGTGCTAGTTTTGATGATACTTAGCTTGCCTCGTAAAGCTGCTCATTGCTTCACACTGATGTTTTACTGTTCTGCTTCTGTATTGGCACAGTGAAATGCTTTCAGTCAAGTTGCTCTCAGATTATGTCAGTCAATACAGAAATCAACCGTGTTGCCAAATTTCATGCTTCAGCTCAAGGACTCAGTGAAATGCAACATCCAGCTTCTAACTTCCAGTAGTTTTATTTTTGTCCTTTCCTTCTTCTGTGAGTTGAGGTTTTCTTTGGGGTGTTACTGGGAACAGATAACAGCACTAGTAATTACTGTTCACTTCTCAGCTTTGTTAATTCAGCTTTTTGTTCCAGAATGGCAGGGCCAGAGAGTCAATGAAAAGAGTAAGCAAACAGATTTTAAAATACTGTAATTACAACTGTGTGAGTTTTTTTCTATTTCCTTGAAGAAGCTCAGGTATGAACCGTCCTGTCATTAATTTTCTAGTGGGCCTAAATTAGAGTATTTGTGCCATATAAATCAGGGCCAACATAATCACTTCAAATTATTGAATGCATTTTTCTTCTATTTAAATCAAAGAAAGTAAAAGATCAGTACTTTCTTTGTTAGTGAGATCTTTGAGAATCAGTATCTGAGTTCTCTGCCAGCTTGCTTCTCGTTTCAGTGGGGAATTGCTAGGTACTGATCTCTCTGTAATTACTTCTCACCGAGTCATCTCAAGTGTATCCATAATCAGTAAGGCTAAAATTTTTCTACTGCGTCCCCAATCATCCATTTCTTCTGAAGATGAAATTCTAAATTCTGTGAACAAGCAAATATGCTTTGCAAATATCAAAGTTTTATTAAAGTATTTCAGATGGTGCTAAAGCACCAATCTCCTTTACAACAACTGTTGCATGACTTTTGTATGGTAGAGACTGAAAGAACTGGACAACCCCGCTGGTGTATCTATAGGAAGGGTGAACAAGTTGCTGCTTGAAAAATCTATG